ACATAAGTTAAAATTTTCTGACTGCAACTTAATATTTGTTGTGAACTTTCTGTGTGTCACTATTTTAAGTGCTTTATCTCAACCTTCACAATATTCAGAAAACTTGGAACTATTGCTATCTCATTTTTTTCTTTTTGTCAGTTGTGGGGCTTGAACTCTTGGCCTGGGCTCTGTCCCTCAGCTCTTCAGCTCAAGGCTGGTGTTCTACCACTTGAGCCACAGTGCCACTTCCTTCTACCTCATTTTTAAGGTAAAGAGCTTGTGGCACAGAGAGCTGAAATAACCTACACAAAGTTGCACCTCCAACAATGCTGTAAGTATGGCATCTAAAAAATGCAGCAAAATAGTCTGTAGCCCTTGCCCCTAGCAGCAGCTCAGGCAGTTTTTCCAGAACAGGAAGAGAGATCATCCCTTTGAAGGATGTTATTTTCTTCCCTTGTCAAAATTATTGTTCAGTATGATAGGTAAACTAAGTCTGAAATATTGGTCTTTCATGAACCCACGATATTAAATCTTTTATTCAGCACTCTGTTCTTGTTTCCTTTTAGGCCGTGCTAAGGAGAGAAGACAAATCACATTAAGATGACATATTTACTATTCTAATTTATAATTGAATAATACCATAAATTACACTGTTCCTGCGACCCAGCACACAAGTGAACGTAAACCAGAGATTAATCACAAACCATAAGGAATATCTCTCCTTACAGGTCAGATTTTTCTTCCCACCCAAAGACCTACTTAAAGAACAGGTAAACTGAAAATATCTGACTATAGGCAACATTGGTTTCCAGTTCAATTTGGAAACATCAACTATTTCTTAGAGGAATGGCAGTGCAATGGCCAACTGCAGACTCGTAAGTTAACTATGTAGACTCAAATGCTGGTTCTTTTGTTGTTCGTAGAGGAGACCTGGGACAATTTGCTTTCCTAATGTCTATTTCAGTCTCCTCTGATGCAGAATGATAATGAAGCTCATTAACATTTTTTATTCCCTCTTTTTTTTAATTGTGAAAAAAACCTGTTACCTGGTAAACCATGAGTACTTTCTGAATCTCCTTTCAACTCTCAACTCCCAAACTATCCCTCCTTCTCTATTCCCACTGTTAAGACCTCAGGTCTGGTCATCAGCCCTTAATAAATCTTATGTTGCTGTAGTTATCTAAAATTATCTTTTCTTCTAACTGCAATTCTCTCTGAAGATATCAACGGGAACATTTTTAAGAAAACGTTTTGTTCACAGGATTAATTCTCACAAGACATATTCACATGTTATTCTCCCCTCTCTCTCTCTCTCTCTCTCTCTCTCTCTCTCTCTGTCTCATTGCCTACAATGAGGTTAAAGTTTCTTGGATGTTTATCAGTATATTTTTACAATATTGATCCATTCTAATTTCCCACTATTGTTTTGCGTATTACTGGAGAAATCTTCTGTTTGGAAATTAATTGCTTTGTCGTTCACTAATGTGGAGTAAAGTTCATTTCTAAACTGCTAACTCATTTCTTTGACTATTCTCTTAGTGTTTTCCACCTGTGTATAAAACTGTTTATTTTATACTTAGTTCTCAAATTATTTCAAATGGACTTTTAAATTTCGTTAGTTTACTCCATTCTCAAAATATGTTACCATAACCTCTGATTCATGACTCTACAAGCCTATAGAACTTCTTCAAATTGATAACAGAACTTCCTTGAAAGTACTTTTTCTCTCTTCCTTCCACTTGCTCTCACATATATTAGCACAATGCCTTTCACTTTTAGGAGTATGTGATAATTATTAACAAAATTAAGTTGAGTTACACTATTAAACAAATGTACTAGCTCTATCCACCAGACACTGAACTTATTAAATAAGAGTGAAAGATTCTTTAGGTCTTTCCTTCAAAATCCAAAACTGGTATGTGAGCATAAAAAGAATAAAGAAAGAAATGACTCATTCATTTAAAGAATACTATTGAAGTGAAGTGCCAAGTAGTTGGAACCAGAGGACAGCCAAAGTGGAAAAAGAGTCAGAAAGAGCATCAAGGAGGCATCAAGAGCACCTTCAGCACAACCTAGGTGAATTCATAATCCAATTCAAGCTGAACTCCTCCACTCAGACTTCTCTGTACTGCATGAAGTGAATGAGGGAATGAAAGCAAAAGATAGTTATTAAAAATTTTGCAAAATAAAATGGAAGCATAAGACTAAAGTAAAGCTAGAAAGATTTATAGATAATAAGAGATAACGTTGATAACTGCAAGATGGAGAGAATGACACTGAAAAAAAGACTAGTTTATGTTCCCATCAGGGATTCGCAGAAGGCATGAACAACAGGGTAGGCAGGACTATACACTCTCTGGGGGACTCAGTTACCAGATGTTTCCTGGCGTGGGGACAAAGGTAGGACATCCTATGAGAACCACTTTAGTACTCATGCCCAGTGGCCAATAAGGTGACCAATAAGGAACCAAAGTCAACATCAGAGCCTTTATTAAACCAATCATGTCCCAGGGTAGGAAGAGAATTAGTAAAGCATGAAGGCCACCCATTTGAGGGACTTCACCACACTCCTGGCCCTGGGACTATTCTTTATGTAGCATTTGCTTTCAATAAGCTTACTGCTTACTATACTTCACTAATCCTTCTCTTTACTCGGTGGAGAAACAGACCTGGACCCCTACACACCAAAAGACTATAGTCTCAGCCCTGAAGGAAGACCATTTTTATGCTAAGTTTTCTGTATCCAAATAGCATTTTTTTGTCAGTCATGGGGCCTGAACTCTGGGCCTGGGCACTGCCCCTCAGCTCTTCAGCTCAAGTCTAGTGCTCTACCATTTGAGCCACAGCACCACCTCTGGCTTTTTCTGCTTATGTGGTGTTGAAGAATCGAATCCTCATGCATGCAAGGCAAGCACTCTACCACTATGCTACCCTCCCAACACCCCCAAATAGCATATTTTTCAAAGCAATAAATTTTAGATTGCTGAATGGCTCCATTGACAATATTACAAAATTCTTAACTCTTATTTGAAGTCAAATCATTAAAGACATACTGCTAAAGACTTAAGTATGGTATGAGGTTTGGAAATAGGTTGATCATGAAAATGGAAAGGCTAGAGCAGCCACAGAATCTCAGACCTTCACGCTTACATTTACCACATGGACGCACACATACACACACAAATTAGAATTAAATAACCACCAGCTTCATTCCTATGAATTATATGAAAAGTAAGGAAAACCCCTGCTTTATGTTATTGTGGATCAAGCCATCTTAGATGTTGAAAGGAAAGTGCAGATAAAAGAGTCACACATCCTCAATTTCTATGAATGCCTTATAAGAACATTGGATGATTGGTCCATTAAATTATTTGGTCATCACCATTTGTTTTGCTTTTGTAATTTTCCTTCAATAAGCACTTTGTAGTTGCCTCCTCTTCTCTCCAAAAGGCTCACAAACACATATTTTCAGCCTAGGTTTGCACACAACAAATAAGATATATATGCATTCTGATTTTATGGTCTGTATATATCCACACTGATTGATTCAATGGTTTGCACTTCCCCAAAATCTCAAAGAAGAAAAGGCATTTTCTTAAAACATTTGGATGTACTTACCAAGAAGGCTGAAGTTCAGGTGTTTTTGAGCATGTCAATCAGTAATACTTATAGGGTACTTTTATTATGTACTTTGTGTGGCATGATTATGAAATTGTGATGCTTGGTTAACAAACATATTTGAAGTTTCCAAATAAATCAATTTCAAATGAAGAACTAGTCACATTTATTGGGCATTAATGTCAACATTAAACATCTATTAACTCTCCACAAATGAGACAGTTCTTAACCTTATATTCACTTTATGGAGACATTAAATGATTTGCTCAAAGTCGCATTGCTAGTGAGTGATAAAGCAGGACTTAATACCAGATGTTCCAAATACAGAGCCTAAATTCCTAAATTGCTGTATATGACACCTTATTATTGAAAAAGTTATTCTGGGAGACAATATACAAACTAGCCAGGACAATCCCTCCACCAGAAGATATAGAATATGTGAAATACTTCTCTTTAAGAGTTCAGTACAGTAGTGTGTTTGCTTATGTTTATAATCCCAGCTATACAGAAGGCAGCGAATGGAGGGTGTTTCTTCCACACTAGCCTTGGCTAAAAGCTTGTGAGATCGCTAAACCAATGGCTTTGTGAAATGGTGCATGCCTGTCATGCTTGCTACCCTGGAAACATCTAGACCTGCCCCAGCAAAACGTGAGCCCCTCTTCCAAAAATAATACAAACAAGAAGAGTAGAAGGCATGACTCAAGTGTTAGAGTACCTTCCTAACAAGGGTAAGGCCTTGAGTTCAAAACCCCAGTACTACACACACACACACACACACACACACACACACACACACACACACACACACACACAAAATAATAACTTCAGCATATTGTGATTATTTTCTTTGGATTTTGGTTCTACTTAAGAATTACCTTGTAAAAAGTCTCACTCAAAGCCAAGATTTACTCCTTCAGAGAGACATTAGAAAGCTATTAATTTTTTTGAGGTTTTGTTCTTCTCATTTAAAACTTGAATTAACAATAAAGGTATTAAAATATTTCGGGTACAATTATAGGCAATACTTATATAGATTGCCTAAAGTATAAATCTTAATACACTAATTCAATACTCCATTTTAAAAATCCCATTTTAAACAGGATAATATCTTTTACTTATCTGAAGATGAAAGGGGTAAAAGTCACTTAAATTAAGTGAGAAGTGTTTTATGAGGGTAACAAAGAGTAAAAGTAAAATAGGTAATTAGAAATATTGAAACTATACTACTTAATTCAAACTTTCAGGTAGCTTATCAATAATGCTATCCTTTGTACTGATTTTCCCTCTATATTCATAAATATCAAAAACTGTAAGTAAGAATACAGTCTTTTATGACAGAATGGCAGCTACATGCAGTATGACTTCAATTGAATGTGAAAATTAAATTATACATGACTTACTGTATGTGGTGCTTGGTGATGTCAAAATGATTTGGAAACACTCATTCTTGAGAAACTCCTACAAAAATGCATCTGTGTAGAAAGAGAAAAGGCTACAGTCACAAGAACTAATCCAGAATAAGACACACTTAAGAGACTATGCATGTAAACACACTTCAACAAATGCAAATTGTGTGTCTAGCAAAGTCCAGTACACTAATAAATTGAAGTAGTAAAAAATGCATGAAAATATTCTAAATGCCAGGCCAGAGAACATTCATATGTAAGAAATAGGAAAAGTATACACACTGAGTCCAGAATTATTTGAAAATACACAGAACACTAAGAATATTATAACAATGCAACAGGATCCAAAAGATAGGAGATTAATATAAGTAAACTCAGTTGGAGGTTTGAAGTAATTATCCAAATAATACAGGTTTTAAAATGCACTTTTGCCTGATATATGAACATCACTTGGTTAGAAGAGAATTTTGCTTGATTTATCGAGAGAATTGCACCAATTCACTTTGTAATTGCATTTCAGTTCTAATTGAAAACCATGCACTGAGAAAAATGCAGGCATGCTGATTGCACAGCTCACAAAAAATACACAAACAGATCTATTCTCTGTTTTCCACCAGACAGGTGAGATTACAAGGAGAAAGTGATTTAATCAGGCTTTATTATTTAAATTGCTTGTTTCTGAAGATGAATATTAGAAGAGCACATTAACTTTGAAGTTCAAAATATTTCAACCTAAATGGATGTATGCTACCAAGAATTCTGTTACATGAAAGAACTACCCAAAAAATCAAAATGAAATGCACCCTATTGAAAGATACATGGAACACTCCAAAGTACAATGTGCTGCTCCAAATAGGTCACACGCACTGTGGGTAATCTAATGAGCAAGCTTCTTTAAAGGGACATCCGTACACAGTGCCCAATAATATTTAATTTCTGACCGGCTTGGCACTGTGGGTCATACCTGTAATCCTACCTGGTCAAGAGGGGTAATTATTGCCAGGCACCAGGCTAACGCCTATAATCCTAGATACTCAGGAGGCTGAGATCTGAGGATCACCATTCAATGCCAGCCAGGGCAGGAAAGTCTGGTGAGACTCTTACCTCCAATAAACCACTAGAAATCCGGAAGTAGTTTTGTGGCTCAAGCAATAGAGCACTTGCTTTGAGTTGAAGAGCTGAGGGACAGCGCCCAAGCCCAGAGTTCAAGCCCCACGACCGAAAAAATAAAATAAAAAGAGGGATAACTACAATGGGAGAGTGCCAGCCTTGAGCAAAAACCCTAAGCAATAACACCAAGTCCCTGAGCTGAAACTCCCCAGTACTCAAATAAAACAAACAAAAATCTGACCAGACTTGAGCCTTGCCAGTACTAAGCAGAAATATCATTTATGCACAGGTTATACTTTTTACTTGCAAAAACCTATTATAATCATATCAACAGTTCAACATTTAAAACAAGCATCCTGAATACAACATCTAATTTATTTTCATCTACTCTGTGAATGAAGCCAAAATGGCTCTTCTTTCTACTGGCCCATGCATGGATAGTTTTACTAATGCTCAACACAAAGGCTGAAGCAAGACGAAGTTAGATACAGCTAATAAGCTAGAGCTAAATGGCAAAAAGAAATCAAGAAATTCCCAAGAAACTAGGTAATCTAAATAAATCTTGTTTTTATAAACTTGTAACTTAAAACGTTGTAGAAGATATATATTCATCTTGACAAATAATTAGCTAATAGAATGAACAGTTTTATTTCTTCATATCCATACTATGCATACCAATTCTCACAGATTATTATTCTGATGTGACACTAATTACACAACTCTCAATCTGATGTCAACAAGAGAAAACTGAGCACAGTTTGCAGCCAATATTTCTGACCAGAGCTTCATCTTCCAACACCTGATAGCCCTTATGTGGCAGGCAAACAGAGACTGCCAGTTGGGACATAAAGTATGTAATCTGAGCAGTGACATTATTCATAGAGTTAGAAAATGCCCTAAAATTTAAGTGGAAATAGATGAAAATATACAAATAGTCAGAAGAATGTTGAGCAACCCAATTTCAAAATGGACAACAGAGCTATAATAATTAAAAAGAGCATGGTAATAACATACAAACAGATACATGACCAAAAGAACACAAGAGAAAGACTGGAAGCAAACCTACACATCCAAAGTCGCCTGCTTTTCAGAAGCAGAAAACAACCAGAAGGTAGTGTGGAAAGGACAGTCTTTTCAATAAGTAATAATGAGAAATCTGAGTATATACAATCAGAAGCATGAAATCTAGACCCTATCTCTTACCAGTTTAAAAAGTCAACTCATGTTTATACTTCCACCAACAATGCAATAGGATTTCCTTTTGGCCACATCCCCTTCAGCATCTGTTATTAGATCTCTTGATTACAGCCTTTCTAACTGGAGTAAGGTGGAATCTCAATGTTGTCTTGATTTGCATTTCTTTTAGGCTAGAGAAGTTAAGCATTTTAGAAAGCAGTATGGAGGTTCCTCAAAAGACTCCATATAGAGCTCCCCTATGACCCACCAATGCCACTTTGGGAGCATTTTCCTGAATGATCACAAGTCTATACTAACGCTACCAGCACAACTATGTTTATTGCAGCATTATTTATCATGGCTAAGATATGGAACCAACCCAGATGCCCCTCAGTAGATGAATGGAACAAGGAAATGTGATATATATATATATATATATGACGAAATTTTATGCCTCCATCAGAAAGAATGACATTGCCCCATTTGTTAGAAAATGGAAAGACATGGAAAAAATTGTATTAAGTGAAGTAAGCCAGGACCAAAGAAATATCGGTCCCATGGTTTCCCTTATTTGCAATAACTAGTATACGTCTAGGACAAGCAGAAAAGTTCATTAAACTATGTACATATGACCATATTAGATGATGCTAAGTGAAATGACCCTCAAGATAGAGACACGAGTGGTTTTATCTTTCTTGCTGTTATTTTCAATGTATTTATAATGTACCGTGTGAATTTTTTTGTTTCTTTTGTATGCTCTTCCCCCATGGTATAACCCCTGTTTTCACTGTATTTGATTCCAGTGCCCTGCATCTTGTATATACATATTTCTACTTTGAGGAGTGGAAGGGAAATAACAAAATGCTGACATAACTATATTTCTCAAAAGAAGATATATGCATGTCATATGAATAATCTTCATATAGCATAATGTTCAATTTCACTGATCATATCTTATAATGAGGTATCACCTCACTCCAGCAAGAACAGATATTATCAACTCTTATGAAGATCACTAGAACAAGCAAGCCTGTGGACAAAGGGAACCTCTCCCTGCACACTGCTAAAATGTAAATTTGTACCACCATCACCAAAATCCTCAAAAAAAAAAACCTTAAAAAACAGACTACCATATAACCAGAAATTTTAAATACTGGATATATATTTCAAGGAAATGAAATGCAATGTCAATGAGACATTTGCACTCCTGTGTTAATTGCAGGACTATTCACACTAGCCAATGTGTACAACGTGTCCATGAACTAGTGAATATCTACACTATGACTATGACAATACCCAGTAAATGTATGTATTGAAACTCATAGCATCCCCCATAAATATGTACAAGTTTTGTTTTATGTATCAGTTTAGAAATACATTTAAAGTAAGAAATATGACATACTAGTGCGTGGTTTGTCCCACATCATGGCTTAAAAAGTATCAAACAATATTTAAATAGCAGGGAATGTCTCTTAAGTGTCCTCAATTCTCACTTACTTTGTAAAGCTGTTCAAAGGGCACACATGGAGCACAGAAAAGGCTGCCCCTCTCATGTTAAATGTTTTCCTGCTCACTCTGTTGCTACTTATACAATTTTCTTCTTCTTTGCTACTAGTGAGCACTGGAATGCTTTGCCCCAACCCAAGCCCTCCTTTCCCACTATTTATCATTACACCAGTTGATGTGAAAAGGCTCAAATCACCAGCGATAAAACCAGTTTAAGTAAGCCTTTGGAAGGATGCATATAGTTTATTACAGTTCCACAATCAGGTGCTATTAATTAGCTGTTTTATTTTAATGTACATATTGGTTTTAAGAGTTTGTGGGCTTGAATAGCTTTCCACTTACAGAAATATATTCAGTATTTTTAGGGTCAAGGTTTTTGTTTTGTTTTGTTTTGTTTTTTGTCAGTCATGGGGCTTGAACTCTGGGCCTGGGCCCTGTCCTTCAGCTCTTCAGCTCAAAGCAAGCACACCACCACTTGAGTCATACTTCCATTTCCACTTTCTGGTGGTTTATTTGATATAAGAGTCTTGGGGTCCACAGTATAACCCCTGCTTTCACTATATTTGATGTCAGTATAACTTGTGGAGGAGATGGGGAAAAACAAGTCGTTTAAGGATACAGGTGGACCTGTTGCAGTATGTTCACAAAAAAAAATTAAACTAAATTTAAAAAAAAGAGTCTTGGGGTCTTTCCTGCCCAGGCTGGCTTTGAACTATGATCCTCAGATCTCAGCCTCCTGAGTAGCTAGGATTACAGGCATGAGGCACTGGTGCCTGGCTAGGGTCAAGTATTTTTAAGGAAGAAGGTACAAACACAATTATTAGCATATCATCAAGAGAATTAGTTATTTCAAACAATATTTTACATTAATTGTAGACAGGTATTTCTAGAGATGGCTCTTGGATTGATGGATATTTCACATAATTAAACAATTATAATGATGAAGGATAAAACCTTCAATTATTGAAATCAACTAGGCCAAGGGTACAGTGGACACTAAGGTGATGATATGAAACATACAGATTTTGCTACAAAACTCCCCAAGATAAGGTCTCAAATGTTTTTTTTCTTTCTTGCTATTGTTTCTAACATATTTAAAAAATGATTTCTTTGTTGCTTTGTAAGTCCCTCCCCCAATGTATAACCCCTGTTTTCACTGTATTTGAGGTTGGTATAATTTCAGGAGGGGAAGGGAAAAAACAAATTGTTTAAATAGGATACAGGTTGACCCATTGCAACAATGAGATGTACAAGTTGTTATGCTGAAAAA